CACCACCAGGCACGACTCCGTGCTTCGAGAAGTCCTGCGAGTGGGAAGTGTAGTGTGTCAGCACTAGCGTTGGGTGGTGGTGCTGACAGGGAGAGAGAGAGAGAGAGGGGAAGAAGACCTCGATCTCCTTTAGGGAGTCGTCGGTGGTGATGCCCTTGTTGCGCTGGTAGTTGGTCTCGAACAGGCCCCACTCCTGCTGGCCGTACTTCTTCTCCTTCTCGGCCTGGGGCGCCGACGCCGCATACGAACGCACCGCCTGAGTGGTTCCCGTCAGCTCCTCCGCCGTGTAGTGCGTTCCAGGCACCGCCGTTCCTGCACCGCCGCCATCAGTAAGAGAAAGATATTGGGGGGGGGGGAAGAGATGAAATGAAATGATGAAGTCATGGGCGAACAAAAGAACAGCAACTTTTTTTAAAAAACGCAAGTAAGATTTGCTTGTGTTGAAGCCTGGTACCTTGGTTGTGAGCCATGATGCTGCAGATGGTGTTGATAAAAACTAGTAATTTTAAACATTTTTTTAGCCCCACTTTCATTCTGCAGTTGTCCCAGTGGCTGATTCGCCAACGGTCAGACAGCTCCCGGATTTATCCGAGTGCCAAAGGCGACGGCAGCCGCTTACGTCAGCTTTAGGTCGCTACGCGACATTCCTCTATGAACATACGTTTGCACGGCTTAGCCCTTTGTGTTGTGCCTCCGCAGGAGAGGGAACATCCTGCTCAGCTTATTGTCCTTCTTCTTCTCAGGTGGGGGCGGCAGGGGGCTCTGGTCCAAGTCGTCGGCCTCTTCCCTCTTGGCCTCTTGTCTCGCCTCGCCTTCCTCCTCTGCGATGGACTCGAGCCTCATGTCGCTCAGTCGGCCCTGCAGCTCTGCGGCCCCAATGGCCACCGTGGCTCGGCGGCGCAGGGCCACTCTCCTTGGCGACTCGTAGGTCGTGGGTTGCGATAAGGACGAGGCACTGGGCGAGTCGCCGACCTTTGGCTCTGCAGGTGGAGTGCGTGGGGCGATGAAGATGGGCGAGTCCTGGTAGGCCGACGGGTCGAGGTCGAACGAAGGCGGTGGCCGGGCGAAGTTCCAGCTGAAGCGTCGGGGCCTCCTGGTGGGGACCGCGCCCGAGGACTGTGCCTTGCTGGTGGTGGCCATCAGGTGCTTCTAGTTTGGGATGTTGGGTGTTTTGCCACCAGCTCGACAGCACACAGGCAAGGAGCTCACCATGCGTTGCCTGGAAACGGAGATAATTCCAACCAATCAGGTTCTCTAGCAACGGTTCACCGGCAGGCCCAGATACAGTGCAGGTCTAAATCAGGAGAACCGGGTGCATCCAGGTGTTTCTTCCGAGATGCAAAACAAGAGAAGCTGGAGAGGAACACCACGTGAAGTAGAAGAAGATGTGTTTTTGATATATTGTACAACCCCTAGTGGGTGCTCTAGTCGCGACTTGCTACCCTGCGCCGAAGCAGGGACAGGAAGCTTCGCCTGGATTGTGATAGCGCCTTCTTTGACCTCCTCTTCTCCTTCTTCACACAATCCTCGCCCTCGCTGCTGTCTACATCGCCGTCGCTTTGGAGGCTCATCAGCGCCTGTAGCGCCTTGCTCAGTTCGCCGGGGCCGTAGGTGAGAGACAGCCTCCTGGGCAGCTGGGCTGCCTCTGCGAGCTTGTGTCTGGGCGAGCTCAGGAGGTCCACAACGTCGAACGATCGGCTGCGCTCCTTCTCCCCACTCTCCTCCACCACCACCTGGGCGCACTTGGCCAGCATGACCTCCTGGCTCTTGAACAGCTTGACCTCCTCCGGCTCGGCCAACTCGGGCAGCCAGCAGCCGTCCTCGTCCTCTTCTTCCTCGATGATCGGCTGGGGCTGGCGCAAAGGAGATGTGTACCGAGGCGCGGCGAAAACGGGGTAGTCGCAGTCGGTGTCGGGTCCCAAGTCGAACGAGGAGGATTTGTGCAGGAACGTTGGGAGGTTGAACCGGCTCCCGTTCCTCTTTGTCGCCACTCTGCGCGAGCTCTCCAGCGCCATTCGATTATGTGGTTTCCTCTGGCTTGTCGGGTTCGGAGGGTACAGGTGATTGTGGTTGTGGTTGTTGGTGGCGGCTGGTCGAGCCGAGATGGCACTCAAGGTTGGAGAGCAGTTGGCCGTGGGTTCAGGAAAGTCGTATGGATGACTGCAGTTGTGAGAAGGTGGTGGGACGAGCTCGTCTGGGGTGGTTGTGGGGATAGTTGTGGAGTTGGCTGTGGGTGGTAGCTGGTGTGATATATCTTTGTCTCATCTCGTTGGCTTTTGTAGGGGGTAGCAGGGAGGACATGAACAGTGCGCTAAGTTCCCACCAGTTGCTGTGAGCGAGCTGTGTTGCTTGGCAGCTGTTACTCCCACCAATGGCGGCCCCAGATCCAGGCCCGTGTAATCCATCGATTCCTGACATCTCATGACAGAACCCTTCCTTCGCGCATGCTTCTCCGCTGGTGTTGCGAGGGTGGTTACGCAGTGCTCTTGGCCGCAAGGTGCTCGTGGACCCACCTGCGCTTCACCTCCGGCGAGAAGGGCAGCACGTAGATGGTGTCCCCGCTCAAGATTATGACCGTCCACGAGCACCAGGGGCAGCGCACAGGTCAGGTCGAGCTTGGCCACTGGGACCGCCACTCTTCTTGGCCGTAGGCGCGCTTTGAACTCTTCGGGGGCGGGACAGCTGTCCGTTCGTGAGTAGCAAAAGGTCGGAGAAGAGGAAGTAGTGCCGTGGGAAGAAGTCAGGCCGGTCCTGCTGAGGTGCCAACATACACAGATCACATTGTTGCGCAGCGTGGCCTCGCGCCAAACACGCGCTAAGGGGCTGACCTTTGACGCGTCGAGCAGGGTGCCTTCTTGAAGGTACTGACGGCCAGGCTGCACGCCAAGGTTCTGCACACAGTGCTTATCAGTGAGGGGAGGGGTTTGATGATGGCAGATATAGATGTCAGTGCACAATACACCTCGACGTTCTTGATCTGGCTCTTGATCCTGGCCACGGCGGCCATGTCCTCCTCCCACTGCTTCGTCTCGTTGACGCTGGCCACCACCTTCTGAATCTTGTCGAGCGCACTGGTAATCTTTGCGTCGTCTGGGTGGTTGCTCGCGGTGTTCTTCAGCAGCTCCTACGCTCACAACAACATTAGATACTGGCAAGTCAGAGTTTAGATCACGTTGAGGCGAGGGCTCAGCGTACCCGATGGAGGAGCTCCATCCACCTCCTCCTTGCTCGCCACCTCCTCCAGCATCGGATTTCTACAAGCATGCCACAGGGGCCAGACATCAGCACCAACAAGACAACATACTGCAACTGGGCAAGCACTCATTGGGGACCTGCGTTACCTGAAGAATCGATCATGACTTCGAGGTCGTTGATGTAGTCCTGCTCAGTGCTGGTGATCTCGTTGATCACCCGATTCCGCTGGCGCACCTGCTCGGGCACTCTGTTGCTCACGCGCAGCGGCCTCTTCTCCTGCTGCCTGCGCTCCTCCTCGGCCTTCTCGAGGTACACCTCCAGGCTAGTCGCCCTGTCCCTGTGTGCGTGTGCGGTGGTGTTATGTGTGCCATGTTGTCGTGTGTCGTGTGCGTGTCATCAAGCGCACGTCTGCCTGTGGGTCAGGTCGAGGTTGATCTGTTCGTGGCAACTGGGCACGGAGCGACGCGGTCTCGGTTGACGTCGTCTGCTGTGTCAGTAGCGTGTCCCTGACGTCGTCGGGTAGGACCGGCACGGCAGGCCGACGAGAATCTCAGTTCCTGGCTTCCCTGGCGCTTGAAGAGGCTGAACCGCCTCTTTCGCTTTCGCTTTCGTTTAGTTCGGCTTTCGCTTTCGCTTTTTGTGTTTCGTTTGCTGCTTTTCGATCTTCTTGCCCAGGTTTCACGCCAGCCATAACAATTGCCACACAACCAAGGACAGGTTTGTGTTGGTGATGGGGTGAGATGCTCTTGGAGGGAAGTGATGAAGAAGAGAGTACCTGGGCAGAGTACTCGGGCGTACGAGATCGTTGCAGGGAGCCCGCGGTCGCTCCCATTGCTTGGTCCTCTTACCGGACGGGTACCGGGACAAGTCTTACTCACGTTCTTTTCTTGTTTTCTCAAGCAATAGCGCCAAAGACAAGGACCGAAAAGAGGGTCGTGTGGCCTTTATCCAAGCCAAAACCGGTCGGTTTCACACATTCCCTTCCGCCTTCTGTACAACTTCTCTTTTTTAGAAAAAGGAAGGAGAACCTGGTGGACCACCAGACGGGAGCGTCAGGGCAAGTCGGTCAGGCTCTTCTTGGGAGGCGGCGGCTGGCTGTGGGGTCAATCAACGACGCGGATTAGTCCATGAATCAACCTCACTGAAGGCCAAGTAAAGGTGGGCAGTAGGTACTCAAACTTGGTCTCGACGCGCTTTGTCTGCTTCTTGAACTTGCCGTCGTGCGCTGTGCACAGCTATGGTCAGTGATATTGATTGATGCAAGGGGGGGGGGACGAGGTGGTACCAGTGTGGCCACCGCCAGAGTTGCCGTTGGCCTTCCAGCCGGGCTTAAAGTTGGGTCCATGGTCCACTCGCTCGAACCCTGGCCCCTTGCCCGCCTCGTTGATCTTTGCCTCAAACAATGCTCTCTTGTCCGCCATCTTGCTCCTTTCGTCTCGTTGGTGTTGTGGTCTGTGCGCCGTCTGCTCGCAGTGCAGCAACCATTAATTAAGTAATTGAGAAGAAAAGAAAAGTGCAGAAAGAAAAAACGAGAAAAAGAGCAACGCAGGCAAACACAAGATGGAGACGAAGGGCCGAAATCACCAGGCGCGTAGTTGTCTGCATTAGTGATCGGTCATGCTGAAAGCCTTCCGTAAGCGCATCGTTACGATGCTTGTCTCACTCAAGAGCCGCGAGGCGCTGGGAAATGGCCCAGGAGGTACGGGCCGGGCTGGAAGTGTTGCTACGTTTGCATCCTCGACCTCTAATCTCCTTGTAGAATTGCTGCCGTTTGCACCAACCGATGAAGAGGTTGCTGAAGTTTGGGAGCGCTTCGCGAGCAAGGACCACCATGTGCTCGACGTCCTGCTACAAATCCTCACTCTCGTACGCTACCCCGTACGCTACCCGGCAGCACGAGAAGGCGAAGGCGAGCCGTTCTCAGCTGCGATTACGGTACTTCTCAAGGTCATCTTCAACTCCCCAAGGTACGATTCCTGTAGTGCTTCAACGCTGCACTCCTGACCGATCTGCACGGTGGCGTTGCAGTTCGCTCGAAACGATTGAACAAGCTCTACATGCCTTGAAGCTCCAGTTCTCGAGCGAGCTAGATGGCTTCCTACAGTGCGCAGAGCAGCATGCTGGATTCACCGCCCAAGCCATCATTAAGGCCAACCCCAACTTCATCAGGTACGTCTTTTCGTATTTGGAGGCCTACGTTGCCTGACGATCGGGACCCCAGGCGAGCATTGGTGTTCTATGGGTTCGTGATCGCGCACCTGCACGACGAAGCCAAGCTGTTGGCGCTGCTGGGACCCAACTTCCCTCGAGTGAAGACCAACACGGCGGACAACACCGTTCTCACGACCCTCCTCGTTCACGGTCTTCAATCGCCGCACACAGACATCCGAGGGAAGGCCATAGAGGTAAGCCCCATTCACTGTCTCAAGTGGCTGCGTCGTTCCATTCTCGAAAAGCTCACACGACTCAACAAACTCTAAATCATCAGCTGATCGGCCGCCTGTGCCTCTCTTCGGAGAAGTCGTCCACCAGATGCCTCCCGCTCTTTGAACGCGCTTTATCAAAGGGTAGGTGGGTGGCGTGGGCCTGTTACACGAAAATGCCCGAACTTACGCGGCTCTTATGCAGATTTAGAGCCTCTACGCGTCGTAGCGCTCAAGATCATATGCGACCTCTGTTTCTTTTACCCGCCGCTCAACGACGTCGAGCTCACGTTCTCGTACGATCAAGAGAGCGAGCCTTCTCCGATGTGCTTCACAGTGCTTGTTCTCGAGTTGCTCTCCGGTAGGCATTACAACTTCATGTCTTATCTGTGCTTGCTCGTAGAAGTTGCTCAACTCAGTGTATGCATATGCAGCTCCATCTAAAGAGATGCAGCTCATCGCCACAATTGCCATCGCTCGGATGCTGCACCACTCGCGCTACGCCGAACCAGAGAAGCTGGTGCGTGCACTCTCAAGCTCAAGCTTAAGCTATGTGTGCCGCTTGCGACTGGCTAAACCTCTTCTACCTGTACAACAGCTCTTGGCTTTGGCGGATAAGTACGTTACTCCGTACTCTCTGTCGGCGGACTCCATGTCGCTTGAAGAACATCAGCAAATGATGGAGATCATCTACGTCTTCTTTCAAAAGGTATCTCTCCCCCCAGAATCGCTTGCTGATTGACGAATGCAGCCTCACCCGGTGTGTCAGTACGCCGACAGGAAGGAGGCTCATCAACCAGAAGTCGCGAACACGGTCGTTCTTCTGGTCATTGAAGCGCTTGAAGGGCAGGTGATCCCTCCTGCAATATACAGCCTCAACCCAGATGACCAGCTCTTTGCCTATGCCGACGTAGAGCTGCCGCCCACAGTACGCACTCCTCGCTTTCGGCTACCGTATGCAATGGCTAAGCCATAGCGCTCCTGCGTTTAGGCCGCGTTCCTTGGCTTCAAGCGCAAGGCCAAGTTCCTGCTCTCCTTCCTGGACTCGGCACTTGTGCCCACCATTGTGGAGAGCATCCAGTACAACGTTGCCACTTCAATGCAAGCGGAAATGAGCGCCGAAGAAGCGATGACGATCCTGGGACTTGAACTGTAGGGAAGTGACTTATCGAACGCTGTGTTTGCTTCACCCGCACGCTTCACCTTGGAGCAAAGGGGATAGGGTTAAGTTTTTGATTCGCGTTTATGTTCAAGGGTGTCGCAAGCATCGCCAACGAAAATTGTAAGTTACATCACCTCCCCATTCTCTCTCTCTCTCTCACTCATACCTCTCATCCCTCGGGGATTCAGCTCGAATGCTTTCGCTGGAGCGGGCTGGAAGGGGTAATCGTGGAGCGCTCCATGGAGAGGATGTGGCTCTGCGTCCACTTCCTCTTCTGCTCGACGGAGACGAACGGGAGCACGTAGGTCGCCTTCGAGCTCTCCATCTCGATCGAATTACTGCCGTCGTCGATGCCATTCATCCTCAGATTCACGTGCGCCTCGGAGAGCGGCAGCATCTCCAACACCTCGAAGTGCTTCGACTGCGATCCCTTCTTCCCCTTCGGGCTGCCGCTGCTGGCAGGCCCCTCAACCAGGACAAGCAGGTCGGAGAAGAGGAAGTAGTGCCGCGGGAAGAACTCGTTACGGTCCTGCAGCAGATGAGGAAACGGGTACGTCAGCCTCCGCCATTGCATCGCACGGTGTCAGGGTTGCTTTCTTACCTTGGAGGCTTCGAGCAGAGTGCCCTCCTGGATGTACTGTCGGCCGGGCACCATCAGCTGCACGCCGAACTTCTCTGTGTTCCTGAGCTTGCGGATGACCTGAGCCATCGCCTCCACGCAGTCCTCCTGATCCTTCCGCTCGTTGACCGCCGCGACCACGCTCTGGATCTTTGCCAGCGCGTTGGTGAGCTTGACGTAGTCCGGATGGCTGGCCTCGGTGGACTTGATCAACTCCTGCTCGGAGGGAAGGACAAGGTAAGCATCATCATCATCGTCATCAGCCTCACCAGAACCGAGAATGAAATGAAGCGTACCCTCAGGAGAAGAGGATACTTGCAGATGCGCTGCACCGGCTTGATCAGGTAGTCCCTCAGCGACAGCCGGTTCGTCTGCGCGTAGGCGCGGCTGAAGAACGCGCGGAGGCGGGCGCTGTGGGCCTTCTCCAGCTTGAGCGCCAGCTCGGCCGCGACCGTATGGTTGGCGCAGTACTTGGCGTACATCTTCAGGTAGTCTCCCTGTTTGGTTTGGATTTGGTTTGTTGTTTGCCGGTTAGCTGACGTTTCTTCTCTTAGGGCGCAGAAGGCGGGTAACGTACGAGAAGGAGGAAGCTGTCGCCCAGTTCGTTGCCGTTGGTGTCCTTCACTCGCTTCACCATATCGGCGAGCAGCATCCTGTTCACCTCGATCAACTGCTTCACGTTGGAGAAGAGCGTGCTGATCTCCTCCTTCGTGACGACGTGCTCCTCCAGCATCGGCGTCTCGAAGACCGACACCATCACGTCGAGGTCGTGTACGTAGTCCCTCTCGGTGTTGATGATCTCGTTGATGACGCGGTTCCTCTGTCGCAGCTCCTGGGGCAGGTCCTGGCCCACGTCCATCACATCTTCCCTGGTCGGCTTGGTCAGTGGGCTGTCGGTACGGCTGAACATGCTCCCTCGACCCAGAGGCACCGCGTCCGAGCTGCTTCATCACAGTCGGCGATGCAGGTAAACCAATCAGCAATCAGCTCCCAAATATAATTCTTATAACTGACCAACCAGGTTAGCAGGATTGGTTACCTAGCAGGACCACTTATGCTCGCCATGGCGACCAGCGGCTCCACAGACCCGAACTTCTTCAGGTTGGTCCACGACGTGCTGCGCTTGAGGGTGCCCTTGCCGCCCTGCTTGTGGATGACTTCAAGCGGGTGCCCGGCGCCCTTGGGCGTGGCGGGGCACCTGGCCTCGGCCTCCTCTTCAGCCGCGAGCTGGCCCAGCTCCTCGGCGAGGTTGCACATCTCGAACGACACCGTGGCCCGCTTCGTCACGCGTCGCTCCTTGACCGTGGCCGCAGCGTGCGAGCTGCTGCGAGGGGAGCACGAGTCG